GCTCACTGGCTGAGCGAGGTGCAGGAGCAACACCGAGGGTTGCGATCCCGTGCCGGTCCGGTACGGGCGCGACACTGAGGGTTGCGATCCGTTGCCGGACACGAAAAAAGACAAAAAATATATATATATATATTAAATTAAATAATTAGGCACCTGTTAACCAGCCATAGCTGTCACTTTACTGCCAGCTAATATACTTTTATATCCAGAAGTAATGTCAGACAGGTAACAACCTGAGTTTTAAAGTAGTTTATAGGTATGGCTTCATCTGGGAGTAGAAATATTTTTGAAAATGTTTATTAGAATTAGTCCTTGGATTAAGTGAGAGATGCACTCTAGAATTTCACAAAATCTACAAATTAAAAATAGTCTTTCAATTCACCTTGTTTTCTTAGTTAGCTCTGGCTGCTATAACAAATTACCATCCATTGGGTGGCTTAAACAACAAATATTTATTTCTCACAGTTCTGAAGGCTGGAAGTCCAAGATCAGGGTGCCAGCATGGTTGGGTTCTTGTGAAGGCCCTTTTCCTGCTTTATAGATGGATGCCTTCTGCTCTACCCTCACATGGTAGAGAGAGAGATCACCTCTCTCATGTCGTTTCTTATAAGGGCACTAATCCCATTTATGAAGACTCCACCCTCATGACCTAATTACCTTCCAAGACCCCATCTCCAGACTCAACACATTGAAGGTTACATCTTCAACATATGAATTTTGGGAAGGACACAAACATTTAGTTCATAATGCTTGTAGATATCATTTTGTTTTAGAAAGAGCTCTTAAGTATGTTTCACAGTAACTTCATAAACATTTGAACTACATAATTGTCCTTTGTCTTTTGCCCTTTTATTTATTCTAACAAAGCCCCAAGCTCTTTGACCTTTTCTAAAGGATTAATGTTCCATCCTTTAAACTAAAACCCATTTTCCCATTAACTTATTCTTCGTTTGCTTGTAAACCATGGCTTTTCAGATAAATTTTATTCCCTGCTTAAACTGCTTGTTCTTTCAGTAAAATTCTATAATTAACCTCTCATTCTGTTTCTATTGCCTTTTTAAAGATAAACGCCTCTGGGCGAAGAAGTCATGAGTTGTGTGCCTGAGGTATTTTTCAGTGTCATTGAAGTAAGCTTGGCCCAACACAAACCAGGCTAGGTTGGTTGAGCCTGCAGACCTCTCTACTGAGCCTATGCGAATGTCTTATGGATTTCAAATCCTGCTAATGCCACCATTTTCTGAACATGCAGAGGCATGCAGACAGCTTACACCTGTGCAGATCTCTGGGGAACTCCCTCAAACTTTTTAACCAATCGTGATCTCCACGCCTTGTACCACCCCCCTAACCACTTCCCCATAAATACACCACCTCCTTTCCCACTGTGGACAAGATGGATTTCAGATATATACATATATATCCTCCATCTTCTCACTTGGCCACATTGTAAATAAACCTTTTTCTCTGCTGCAAAGATCTGTGCTTCAGTGTTTGGCTTTCCATTCTGCATGGGCAAACAAACTCCATTTGGTTCAGTAACATGCTGAGTATTTATTACATGCCAGACACTGTCCTAAGTGCTGGGGATACAATGGGGCAGGGAAGAGGAAATATTTGTCTTCATCTTTTAAAATATGTAAACTAAAAATAAAGTTCTGTTCTATTAAGGGCTCAAGTAAGGCTTAACTGAAAGACATCTTCATAGTTCATATGTATTACACCTCTGATATTAAATGTTAATATTATAATGTGCTTGCTCTTATATATTTAACTCATCTCTTTGAACATTCAGTGTCAAAAGGTCTTATAGAAGCTGCCAGTCAAAATGACAGAATAGGGCTGGCCCGGTGGCGCACTGCTACAGTGAGCTGCTTGGGAAGCGCGGCGGCACTCCCGCCGAGGGTTCGGATCCCACATACAGACCGGCCGCGGCCCAGTGGTGCACTGCTACAGTGCGCTGCTTGGGAAGCGCGGCGGCACTCCCGCCAAGGGTTCGGATCCCACATACAGACCGGCCGCTCACTGGCTGAGCGAGGAGCGGGGGCAACACCGAGGGTTGCGATCCCGTTGCCGGTCCCGGTCCGGTACGGGCGTGACACTGAGGGTTGCGATCCGTTGCTGGTCATGAAAAAAGAGACAAAAAGACAAAAAAAAAAAAAATGACAGAATAGACGGTCCCCAGCATCACTCTCTCCCACAAATCAACCAATTTACAACTATAAAAAAGCAACAACAGCCAAGCTGGGGCCACTAGAGCTCAGGGGAAGAGGAGCAGAGACCTATGGAGTATATGAAGGTGGGAGTAGCCATGATGAGAGAAAGAAAAAACTGCTCTGTTTTGAGCCCTGGCCATGCCCAGGCTGGAACTGCTGAGCACACAGAGCAGTAGCTGGCAAAAGCCATAGCTGTGCCCTTTGGATGAAGCTGCTTGGAGGCGGCAGGGGTGAAGAGAGCTTTGGTGGCCCCCCAGACAGCAAGACCACTAATAGGGTTCCTGTGGACCTACATAGGAGTGAGGAGCCAGAACAACTGAAAAAAAAGGAGCCACCCAGAGTGAGTCATCGCAAGGGACTGAAACACAGCCTGTCCCATGGGAAATGTTTGCAGCACTGGTGGTGGGGGAGTCAGGCCCACCGGGAGAACACTGGGACACAGTGAGGACAGCTGATCTGCACCCCAATCAGCATAGGACCACTCAGAGGAAACTGGTCAGGAATATAGAATTGCATGGGGTGCGGTTTGATGAAAAGACTCAGGCCCAGAGCAGAGTTTCTACACAACCCAGGTGCACTGGATCTCTCAAGAGCTGGAAGTACCTATAAAGTCAACTGTTAAAACCTGAACCGCACAAAAAGCCTTCCCTAGGGAATCAGCAGCAAAGCAGCAATTTAGCTCGATCACAGGGCTCAAGTGCTGGTCCCCACAGGAAGTTCCCCCATTTTAGAAGTAAGCAAAGGATAACAAATTAGTTTCAGCACAGAATTTAAATGGTGGGAACAGCAAATAATGCAACACAGAAATGAAAGAAAAAACAAAGTACCCACAACCAGAGACAAAGTTTCATATTAACTAGTAAAGGTCTCATTTCACCAAAGGACACCTATAACACTTAGAAGGACCAGAAGTCCCCTGGGCTACCAAGCCAGAAAGTGCAGAGGGCCAGGGGCTTCAGCAATGTCCCCCAACACCAGCAACCAATCCTGAGGGTGGGGGATGAAGGCCTCGGCCACGCCTCCCACCCCTGACACCCACAGCCAGCCCAGCAGTGACCATCGAGCCACCACAGGAAGTGCCCTGGGCTCTTCCAAGCTGGGGCGGTGGGGGACTGAGGGCCTCAGCCACATCCCCCCCAACACGAGCAACCAGCCCAGTGATGACCACCAAGCCACTGCAAGAAGGGCCCTGAGTTCCCAAGCTGGGATGGTGGGGGGTCAGGGGGGTGAGAGCTTTTGCCACACACCCCCGGACATCTGCACCCAGCCCGGCAATGACCAAACCAATGCTGGAAGCTCCCTAGTCTCCCCTGTAGGAATGAAGGTGGTGCCACAGGCCTCAATCCCACCCCTCCTCCTTCCTCCTTCCATTCTATGTCCTTCCCCTTTTCCCTCTCCCCCTCCTGCCCAACTGCTCTGCAACAACATCCCAGAATGTAAAAACTATTAATAAAATTACATTTTCTTTAAAAAAATAAGGTCTTATAAATTTTACTTATACTATACTAGTCATATTCCCTTCCAGAAATATTAACCTTCCTGACCAGCTTTATCTCACTTGAGCAAATTCTCAATTTTACCATCTAAATATTGATTCCAAATTAGCTGATTTCTATTGATCAGCCACATTTAGGAATTAAGCTCAATCACTGATAAAACAATGAAGTCTAACGTTGATTAAATGGTAACTTACATAATCTGTTTAAATGAAAAATATGTGGACCTTAAAATGTGTTTGGCTTCCCTTCAAAATATGTATTTGAGGGGCTGGACCATGGGTCACTCAGGAGAGTGCGGTGCTGATAACACCAAGGCCAGGGGTTCAGATCCTATATAGGGATGGCCGGTTAGCTCACTGGCTGAGCATGGTGCTGACAACACCAAGCCAAGGGTTAAGATCCCCTTACTGGTAATCTTTAAAAAAAAAAAAAAAAAAAGTATTTGAATGTTCCAGTAAGCTGCCTACAAAATATGTACCAACCTGTATATTTTAGATTTTTAAAATAAGTGTTTCTTAGTCACAGAACATTTATTTATTTATTTAGAACACAGTAGGACATTTGCTAAAAGATGCAAGCAATTTCCAAATGAATTTCAAGAAACCTAAATATCACAGTACCTTTTTAATATGATGAATGAAAAGGCACCTGTGTACTCCACTTGTTCGCTGAACCATATCTAACAAAAAACTTTCTGAAAACCACAAACAGTTAGGGACAGTCAGGTGTACCAAGCATAACGACCCAGTATGAAAATACTGGGTGTTTGTTTTGGTTTGGTTTTTTGCTTTATACATAAACTACAACATAACAAAGATGTTGACAACATAACAATACAATATGACAAAGATGGGTAAGTGGGTAAAATTCATGTAACAGAAGCTTCAAACATTGGTGCCTTCTAATTTCTAGGTTAAATTTTCCCCATTCTGTGTGTTAAATAATAATTTACATTTATTTAGTGCTTACTAAGTGCTAATACCATTCTAAACATATCCTAAATCCTCATAACAATCCAATGAGCCAGGTACTATTTAGCCTAAATTACCTAAGAGGAGTTATACATATTAAAATTTTTATATGAGTTTATAACTCCTCATAGCAACTTTCCCCAGTTCCAAGCTAGTAAGTGGTAGAGACAGGATTTGTACCTAGGCAGCCTGACCCCAGAGCCTTCATTCTTAACAGCATGTGTTTTACATGTATAGAATCAAGTTCTTGAAAAATAGAAAGATATATCCAAATAGATACACCTATCTATAGAGATGGAGATAAATACAGTAAGTAGTCCCTCCTTATCTGCAGTTTTGCTTTCCACAGTTTGTTACCTACAGCCAACCACAGTCCAAAAATACTAAATGGAAAATTCCAGAAATAAACAATTCATAAGTTTTAAATTGTACGTTGTGCTGAGCAGTGTGATGAAATCTCATGCCATCCCACTCCATCCCACCCAGCACATGAATCATCCCTTTGTCCAGCATATCCACACTGTATATACGACCTGCCCATTAGTCACTTAGTAGCCATCTCAGAGATGAGATCCACTGTCCCTGTATCACAGTGCTTGTGTTTAAGCAACCCTTATTTTACTTAACAATGGCCCTAAAGAGCGAGAGTAGTGATGCTGGCATATTGCTGTAATTGTTTTATTTTATTAGTTATTGTTGTTAATTTCTTACTGGGCCTAATTTATAAATTAAACTTTATCATAGGTCTGTATGTATAGGAAAAAAACATAGTATATGCAGAGATTGGTACTATCTACAGTTTCAGGCATCTACTGGGGTTCTTGAAATCCCACAGATAAGGGGGACTACTATATACATACACACTCACACACAGAGCAAGAGTGCCATGCAGGTAAGCTCTATCATATTTAAAGATGAAGACAATAACTATTTGTTTGTTCAGTTAGACTACAAAGCAGTCACCTACATGACCAACTGTCCTTACCAGACCAGCAAATATTTTCCAACTTGCTGTATTCAACTCTGTAGTGGATTGAATTATGTCCCCCCAAAACTACCCAAAACTTGAATTGTGTCCCCCAAGTTTTATGTATTAGAAACTTAGCCCCCACTGTGACTGTTAAGAGGGTGAGAAGTCCTATCATGGTAATTGAAACGTGGAGCCTTGAAGAGGTGATTAGATTGTAGGATGATGCCGTAGTGAATGGATTAAAAATGGTGGTCAGGGGCATGGTTCTGAGGGCTTCCAAAGAAGAGAGGAGAGCCTGTCTCTCTCTCTCTCTCTGCTCTTTCTGCTCCACCATTTTCACAATGTGGCACCTGCCGTCACTGTCACCACCACCACGCCCCTCACCAGATGTATTCCCTGGACTTGGATTTCCTAGCCTCTGAAACTGTAAGCAATAAATTTCATTTTCTTTACAAATTACTCAGTTCCATGTTATTTTGTTATAAGCAACAGACATGGACTAATATAACTCATATCCTAGGTGGAAAATGTTGCACTAACAGAAAGCATTCCGTAGTTGTCCTGTACACTAGGGGCAGCTGTGCCAGGTCTGATGTGGCTGAGGGCAGGGCCAGATTGGGAGGAGCAGTGTGCATTCACACTGGCTGACTCAGGAATGAGTGCACTGCCTAGACAGTCAAACTCTTCATGTGACAGCTCCTTCTACAAAATCAGATAAGCCTCTCGATTTAGGGAAGGGTCCCTAAGGCCTTCACTCTTTCATTTTTTGACTATAGGTGAAAATCATAAGTAAAGGCTAGTCTTATTTGGACACAGCAAACCGAAAGTCTGTTTAAAAATAGAAAATGTTGTAAAATATATTGGAAGTAAAAATGTTCCAGAATGGGATGCCATCTTTGCAACAAGAAACTTGTGTTTAGGCAGTAGTCTAAACTAAAACATTGGTGAACGCTGTATTTAGTATATTTCCAAGCCTTATCTTACGCAACTGATGTTATTCAATGTACTTCATAAGTTAAAATTTTTCAATATCCTGTAACACAAGAAATGAACATTGCACTATAGGACACGAATGTTGATGAAGGTGATGCCACATACCTCTTCTGCTGTCCAGAAGGATGCCTGAGCCTGTTTATACATTTTCCAAATATCAGGGTACTGGATTGGAAAGATGACAAATCGGCGAGAACTCTTTCTTAGGAGTGGCTCTTCATTTGACTTCATGTCATTTTCATTGGTATCTGTAGATAACCTCTTTGAAAAATAAAGTACAAACACCCTTTTTACATAAACATTTCTACTTTATTCATATTTAAACATACATCTGGGGGAGTTAAGAAGACAGCATAGGTTTAGGAGCCAGTCTGCCTAGGTTGAATTCTTACTGTTATCTGGCAACTGGCTAATAGTGTTTGGTCAGTCATGTGACTGTAAGAAGTTGTTTAACTTCTCTAAGCCTCTATTTCTTCAGGTGTAAAATAATACCTACATCATATGTGTATTCTGGTGATTAAAAGTACTTTAAACACAGCTTGGTGCATAGTAAGTACTCAAAAAATTGTCATTACTGCTACTTTGAGGATAAGCACAAAACTAGACCCATAAAGGTCACAGTGGGCAAATTTCTAAGTTCCTTCAATGCCTGATATAGAATGCTGGCACAAACAGGCATCTGTTATAAGCTACTTTTTAATTTAAATTTTATTCTAATCTTAACTGAAATACCATAATACTTATCTGAAAACTCCTTACCAACAACTTATCAGCCTTTATTCATCTTAACGTTCCCATATACCACTTTGTTATTGATGTTTACATTTCAACACTGTGGGCTGTCTCAAAGCTTTGTGGAATAAAGTGAAAAACATATATCTATATACATAGTGCTAGGAAACACCATGATACTCTAATAGCAAACAGTGTCACATGTATATATTTTTAAATAGTCAGCAAGAATATCAGAAGAGAATCAGAAGAGTCGCACATGCAGGAGAATGAGTATAAACAAAGTACGTATATATACAAATAGGATAAATGTGTATAAATCAGGATTATTAGAACACATTTAAATTCTAGAGTCCTAATCAAAACTCTCACTCCTGTGCCAAGCCAGTCATATTCCTTCATCCTTGATTACCTCCACCAGTCCTCTCCAAAGCACGTGTGCTACTGCGGATAAGACTAAGACTAGGCAAGATTGAAAGGCCCAAAATGAAATCATGAGGCTACACAAATACATGTGGGTTTTATGCACTTCACACACACTGCCAGTACAAAGGACAGATTGTCTTGTTTTGTAACCACATGTTTAAAGGTGTGGGCCTCCTCAGATACAGCCCATGAGCCCTGGAGAATAGGAACTAGTTTTTATATGTTTTGGTGTCCCCAGAGCCTGGTACTGTGTCAAACATAACATCAATAAACATTAGCTAACTAAGTAAATGGCTGCTAATTTCTTTTCATCCTGTGCTCTCATTACTGAATACCTTTAGAAAATCTTAATTTAATACAGGACCATAATACATCAGTGACATAACCTAATAACCACTTATGGTGGATTGAATTATGTCTCCCCAAAACTCACTGAAGCTTGAATTGTCTCCCAAGTTTTATGTATTAGAAACTTAGCCCCCACTGTGATTGTTAAGAGGGTGGGAATTATGGTAATTAAAGGTGGAGCCTTGAAGAGGTGATTGGATTGTAGGACCGTGCAGTAGTGAATGGATTAAATATGGTGATCAGGGGAGTGGTTCTGAGGGCTTTAAAAAAAGAAGTGAGTCTGTTTTTCTCTCTCTGCTCTCTCTGCTTTCACCATCTTGCAATGTGAGAGCACTGGGTCACTGTCGCCACCACCAGACGGAATTTGGACTTCTCAGCCTCAGAAACAGTAAGCAATAAGTTTCATTTTCTTTATAAGTCACCTGGTTCAATGTACTTTGTTATAAGCAACAAAAATGGACTAATACACCACTCAAGTCAAGCCTTCTCTGAGTACTGATGTTTCCTCCTCCCCCCACCACCCCAAAGGCCTGGGTAGGTTCCTGACATATCACATGGCTCACTGCAATTTAATTCCCTGCTAATTGTCTATAGTGCCCTCGAGAAGATGCTTCTTGAGGGTAAAATCCATCTTCACCCTTGTGGAATCCATAGAACCTAGCACAGTACCTGCTGATAGTCATTCCACAAACATTTAGGCAAATATTTTAAATGGAAGTTCTCAAGTTTCTTGTTTGTTTGTTTTGCCATCAAGGGCTTGCAATCTCAAAGGAGTCATAAGATACCAAGACACTGCAGTTCCAGGCTCCAGAACAGGAGATACACACAATAGCAAGTCCTCTAAGACTGGCATTGAGGCTGCTTTTGAGCCATTACCACATAGATACTTTATATACATTATTGGAAGATGTAAATAACATACCCAGGGTCCTACAACTAGTAAATGGCAGACATAAGTTTAGAATTGAGGTATGTCTGAACTCAAAGCCTTGCTGTCATCTCTGTGTATGTGTATATCTATAGCTGAAGTAAGGACAGCCTACAATTTAGAATACAGAATTCAAAATACTGAGAAGAATTAAGGCTAAGGACAGCCTTAATACACTACTATCTCCTGCTAAGCAAAAGATAATTTAACAAATGGTAGTGATATAACCAGTGAAATGAGTGTGGGGAAATCCACCAAATTTGACTCCAGGAATAAGTGAGAAAAATCAAAGTAATTTCCTTGCAAGTAAAAGTAAAAGAACTGAGGTGATTTGAGACTGGTGAAAAACAGCCAAACTGGTAAGGTTTAAGGCAGTGATTTTTAATTTAAAAGTTTCAAAATCTATATGGTAATACTTTCTCAGAATGCATTAGCCTTCTCCTTTCCCTTACCTAGGTTAAAATTATTGTATATAATGAGATCATGAAGCATGTTGTTGATGGGGATGTGTTTCATATGTAAATGATGTGACAGTAAAAATAAGATTGAAAATCATTTTGGAAATTGCCAACTCGACAGTATAACTTGACATGAACCAAATGAACATATTTCACTTCAGACTGTTCCTTATAGTAGAAAATTGTTTTCACTTATGATGTAGTATTATTCATATTTTCAGGCAAGTCATTTAAGCTGAGCATCATGGTCTGCAAGTTAAAGATAATAATACTTCCCATACTTATTTCAAAGGACTGTGATAAAAATTAGAGGAGTTAAAGGTTGTCCCTATATTCGAAGAATTATGATAGTGGTTAATTATTTAATCAATCAATAACCTGTATAACCGTCCTCAAGGAACTTTCATTCATGAAGTAATTAGAGAACTGCTAGAGAGGCTTAAAAAGTGAGATACTCAAATGTAATTGAGATGAGCAAGAACTGAAGTCCAATTTAAAAGGCAGAGGTCAACAGATATTTCAAACCTTTCTTAGCCTACATTGCTCTTCCTTTAATTCCTCTAGATCATGCTTTTACTATCATTTGGTAACATTTTGATACCATTCTCAATTTTTCTTTTTGTTGCATATTTTGTCACTGAGAAACAGTGCTGAAAATCTTACCTTCACTTTTACTTCACTATACATATTTGCTATGTGGGGCATACTGAAAGTTGGGAAGAACACCACAGGCCATAACCCTTTGGCACCAAGCATCCTGACCCTGAATGGTGTTTTTAAACACTGATAAATAATTGATCACTGTCAGGTTATTTGAAACTGCTGAAGACTAGTACCGTTACATTAGAAGAAAAGTCACATTTGTATATACATTCTTTCTGTTCTATCCTGATAACATGCAGATTGTTAAAAGAAGAAGCTGGATTAGGAGGATATTATGAAAGATTTTGCAATGTGAAGAAGAGGGAGTTTAACCAACATAAACGTGTGAACTGCCTAGAGACGACATATTGCTTATTTCATGATGTTTAGATAAATGCACAAACACATATTTTAATATAATTTTGGGAGGTTCATGCATCCTGAAGCTCTAGGCTCTCTAGAGTACACTATGTGGACCTGAAGCTAATAATTCATATTTTAGAAGGAAAAACAATGTGAATAAAGGCATGATGGTATGTGACACTTTATAAGAACTAGAAATAACTTTCTAAGTCTAGACTTTATGGTATATGGGAGACAATGGAAGGAGATAAAACCTGAAAAAAAGGCAGAGAACACTTCCCAATGACTTTTCCAAATGAGCTTTGAAGATCTCTGTGGTCCCTCCAATGTTACAAACTACAGATGAAAATTTCACTTTTAGATGTGTTTTTTGGGGGTTTTTTTTTTTTGTCCATTTTGAGACCAGCCACACCGCTCAGCCAGTGAGTGCTGTGAGCACACCGGTCATCCCTATATAGGATCTGAACCCGTGGCGGGAGCGCTCCTGCGCTCCCAGCGCCGCACTCTCCCGAGTGCGCCATGGGCTCGGCCCTAGATGTGTTTTTAACCGTTTCAAATATAATAAAAATAACAGAAATGTTTTATAGTGTACAGACAGAAAACTGCCAATACATAGACTTGTGTTTCCAGGTTGTCTTTTTTCTTTTCATTTTTTTGGGGATGATCTCAGATAAAAGTTTCTCTTGTTATCTATGTTTAACTGAAGAATACCTTGAGAATGAAAGATAGGCAGTTAAAAACAAAAAACAACAACAACAAAAAAATCCACCCTGAAACAAATTTGTATCAATTTTATCAGCCTTGAACCAAGATTTTTTTTTCCAAAACCAAACAAAATATTAAAAACAATACTAACGATAATACAGTAAAGGTCCTATTATTTGAAATGATCCAGACTAGTAGCTGAAAATTGGTTAAAGAAAGGAATCATAAGAAAATGATGTATGCCTTAAACTATTTGGTTTAATTTAAAACCATAAATTTACATTTACTTTTATTAATTATCTGCTATAACGTCAAAGCGTTTTGTTTGCCTTTTTAATTGGGGTCACTGACTGAAGTCCCAAGTCTTTCTGACATACTGCAACATAATACATCACCTATACTTTCTAGTTTTAATATTATTAAGGTAGAACCATCTGACTGCAGAATCCTTCTATATTTTCTAATTTCCCCCAATCTTTCTGTACTTGTCATGCCTACACCTAATTCTATAGAATTTGTTTTCAACAATTCACCTTTACTGAGTTTTCCAAAGTTTTCGATTTAAGTTTTTACAGAGACAGCTTTTATTTCATACTCATATTTTATTAATTAATATAATATTTAATTAAATTATAATAATTACTATATAAATAAAATTGGTATAAACAGAATTGGAAAGACAACTGATCCCGGTAAGGTATAACTCAACCAGTGAGAACAGTTACGTGGGTGCATGAGAGAGTAGCCTAATAGCCATATGCATTCTAAAGTCTGTGGGTATCTATATATTTTACAGCATTGATAAATGGACAGAATTGGTTAGTAGTAAGTTGATCAAGAGAACTTCTGATAAATATGCAAAGAAATTATTTGCTAAATCTGACATATCTTCAACTATCATGTATTTTCCAGTTCAAAACAATGGGCTCATTCAAACAGACTGACCATTGCATTGACTATATAAATAATATCATAAATATTAACTTAAGATTATATTAATAAAATAGATAAAAGTAGATTTTATCAATTGATATTACTCTTATGGTTTTGTTTGGAAAATGGGCTCAGATATTAAAGACCATGGGAGGGCCTTGAATTAAACAGATATGAATTTTATCACAGTGCTCTCTAACCAACTGAGCTAACCAGTCAGCCCCCCGTAACCATTCTGATACACTGTATTGACATTTCCTTTTTTATCTCCGTGTCATCATTTTGATGAAACAAAAACCATTTAACTTTTGGCTTTTAAAATACATACCCATCTCTAAGTTTTAACTAAGATTAGGTTGGATATATCTATTTTGCATATTAAATGGACAGTAAGAAGTTAATTTTTAAAAAATTTTGGAGCAGGTCAAAATGGTCTGCTTTGATATACAACACTTTGGCTTCTGGCCTCTAACATGTACATTACTGGAAGCCACTGAAGGTTTTCAGTCAGGTAAGTAACATAATCAAATCTGTGTTTTAAGATGATTTTTGGGGCTGGCCTGTAGCTCACTCGGGAGAGTGTGGTGCTGATAACACCAAGGCCATGGGTTCGGATTCCATATAGGGATGGCCGGTTAGTTCACTGGGTGAGTGTGGTGCTGACAACACCAAGTCAAGGGTGAAGATCTCCTTACCGGTCATCTTTAAAAAACAAAAAAGATCACTTTTGTAGAAATACAGCTAGATTAGAAGAAAAATTGAAGTGGAGAGAACAATGAAAAGATTATTGCACTACCCATCTCTTGCCTAAGAGAGAATATCAGCAATAGAAACACACACAAAAAAAGATTTAAGAGAGACTCAGAAGTGGAATTAATTACTCTTGCTAAAAATTTCGATTTTGGATCATGAGATAAGGAAGAGTTGAAGATGCCCTTGTCATTTCCAGCTGTAGCAACTGGCTGATCATAACAAGAAATAAGTGAGAGGGAGGGAGGGAGAGGGGAGGGAGAAGGAAGGGAAGGGAAGGGAGGGAGGGCAGGGGAGGAAAGAAAAGAAAGTACTCAGTACCTGGAGAATAAATGAATAAGTCAGACAAAAACTCTTGCTTCTCACATAAGATGTTTAACAAAATTTGAATTAACTCCTTCTCCCATCCCAAGCAACAAGAAGTTACAAACACAAAAGTCTTTACCAAGTTAACTTGGTCAATAAAAAAGATAATGAATTCAGTTTCAAGATGTCCAGCAGGCAGCTAAAAATATAATAGTATGGCACAGGAGTGATGGAGATTAGTGGTTGCCAAGGGAATGGATGGGATTTTCTAGGAAGAACATATAAACAGCAAGACAACTCAGGATGCAGCTTAAGACAATGCCGATATTTAAAACGCAGATGGAAGAAGAGGACCTAGCTGGGATTAAAACAGACTGAAACGGATGCAGGGCAAACAAAAAGAAAAGCAGAAGTGATCCAATTTAACTAAAGCAAAGGATCCAGACTCTGAATATCAATCAGGCTAAGAGGCTAGGAATTAATTTTGTGGCCAAAGATTTTCAAACATCTGGGGAACCTGGGGCTCAAACACCAACTCTCTCTCACTGATCCCCCACCCTAGGTGCTGGCATTCATTTTTAGATATAATTTTAAAATCATTCCTATGGATACTCATGGACAGTTTCTGAATAGGAATTAATATGAATAGAGGTGGCATTAAGAAAATTAATGATATCCATGTGTGGGATGTATTAGAAAAGAAAAAACCTAGATTTTGCTAGCAAGTAAGGTATCAACTTCAAAGGTGAAAATGAGGACCTGAATTAAGATGTGGCAGTTAGAAGAAAAAGCAGCTTCAACAGGACTTTGCCAGCCTGAGGAGCTGACCATATTTTGGTGAGAACTGAGACCCTTTTGGGAATTTTTATGGGGTTGGGGAGTGGCAAGGAGGCACTGGTTTAATGAAGGATTGACTTGGCAATGGTAAATAGGATCGGATGGCAGGTAAGACAGGAGGCTGAGAGACAACTGAGTTGTAGCTACACAGGTATAAAGTGATGAAAATCTGAAATAATGTTGGCAATAGGTACTCCTTAGTAACGTTCCACTGTCTTTCTAGAATGGTGCTTCCAGTTTTTGCCTGCCCTAGCTTTTGGTCAGCTGGTAAAAAGAGGTGCCCAGGCATGCCAGGACATGCCAGGACAACAATCTAGGTCAAGATTCCCCATCTAGCACTTATAAGGCCCTGATGTGGGCTGGCATTCTACATGGCTCCTACCTCCCATCCAGCCTCAATCCACCACTTCCATTTGTTTGCCTTTACCTCTCTTTGGGGGAAGTGAAATATTTGTATGTTTTCATAGTTTTTCAGTATTTGTATGTATCATTTTCATTCTTCCATTCCCACCAAATATGACAAAGCAGATGGAATACTGAATTTGGCAAGAATTTGGTTTCAAACCTAGCTCTACTATTGAGTCCTGGGCATGTCATTTAATGTTTTCTGGCTTAAGTTTTCTTACCTTGAAAATAGGGACTATGAATTAGAGTAGTAATAGTTAACTTTTAGAAACTAATGAGAGCTATGGACCCCTTTCTCAGGAGACTCATATCTGCACATGCAAAATTTACATATAACTTCAGGAGATTCATAAACCCCCCCTTTAAACCCATCTAACAACGCTTTAGGCAGCATTTCTTAAAATGTGTACCAGGATCACCTGAAGTGCTTGTTAAAGATGCAGATTCAGGGCCTGCCCGGTGGCGCACTCGGTAGAGTGCGGCGGTGCTCCCGCTGAGGGTTCGGATCCCATATAGAGACTGGTCCGCTTGAGCGCGGTACGGGCGCGACACCGAGGGTTGCGATCCCGTTACCGGTCACGAAAAAAGACAAAAAGGGAAAAAAAAGATGCAGATTCAGGGCCTGCCCGGTGGCGCACTCGGTAGAGTGCGGCGGTGCTCCCGCTGAGGGTTCGGATCCCATATAGAGACCGGTCCGCTTGAGCGCGGTACGGGCGCGACACCGAGGGTTGCGATCCCGTTACCGGTCACGAAAAAAGACAAAAAGGGAAAAAAAAGATGCAGATTCAGACCTATCCCAAGAGATTTTGATTCACCAAGTCTGGGGTGTGGGCCCCGTGATTTGCATTTTTTACAAAGTATTCCAGGTGATTCTGGTGCAGGTAACCCACGCTGCACCATCATATTTAGAGAAACAAAGTGCTTAAGGCAACCTTGTACCTCCAGTTAAAATCTTTTGGATCAGGTACAAAAATTATTTCTGTATCTAAAATTCTGCTCTGTCTTTGTGGGTCTGTATCACTGAGATAGAGTTAATAAATAAAAGTTAACTTCCAGGTGTTGAGCGTTGAGTGAGTGCTGATACCATTAATACAATCAGAAAAGTCTGAATTTTCCCATCTGAGTGGGGAAATGGGTACTAAATGCATTTGTTTCAAAAAAGGAAGAAAAAGTTTGAGGGATATTTACAATTAATTAGCTACTAAATGTTTACAAAATCAAAATTAAATGAAATCAAATCCCATACCTGGAATCTACAACCTTTTAAAGAAATGTAGGGCTAAGCATGAATCTCTGAAACTCTTTTATGTTCCCTCCAAATCTCCACAGTGTTATGTCAAAGATACCACACACAGCAACAGGTTCAAGTACAAAACTATTTCTCTTGTTCAGTTTAGAAGTATTTGCAAAATAACAGGGTATGAAAAATATACAGCAACAGCTTAAACTACCATACAACCAGTAAATCCCGCCCTATTTACTGTCATTACATACTTCTATTAGCATAGAAGCAGAGAGGATAAACAAGTTAACTAAGGTTTATTAAGCACCTACAATTTTCGTGGCACTTTGCATAAAGCATTACTTAAATCGCTGTGAGGGAAGTAAGTACCACTTCCACTATATAAAGGAAGAAAGTGACATACCAAAGATTCACAGTTAAAATTGCACAGTCGGAGCAAAATTAGCCTATTTTTTTCATTGTTAGGATTTCCCGTTCCCCTTTTACCTATCATCTCCACCCCACCCACCTGTGTCAATTTCTACAAGCGTCCTTCAACTCCTTGTAACCATCCCAGACTGTATGCATTAATCCAGTAGATCCGCCGCAGTCCTCTTTCCTTGCCTTAGTTTCCCCAGCCAAGGCTCCAGAACAGGGAAGGAGGGGAGGAGAGCATGGGGCGGATAAATGAGGGGGTGCGCCTCAACCCGTCCTGAAGCCTCAGAGAGTTGCCCTGGGCTGGCCCCGGAGCAGAGCAACGGAGTGTAAACCCGGTTCCCTCCCCGCCCCTCCCCGGAGACGGCCTCCCAGACGCTGCAAGACGAAATCAGGCTGCGGGGAGGGCGTGCGGACAGGCCTACATCGGTATGTGACTTCAAAGAGTAAATATTCCTACAGTAGCCCTGTAACTTGCAATCTACAGGCCAAACGTGACTGTGGGGCGGAGAATGCCACAGCAACATTTACCTCATCCTGCTCCGGCCTGGCCACTTCCGGCCTTTCCGGGTCGCCCATCGCGCAGACTCCGCCAGAGCTACGAGGGCTGAGGAAACAGCGCCGCCGGCCACCTTCAACTATGACAGGACCCAGGTGGCTCGGGGGTCCTCTGGGTCCGCCCCGCCCCCAGCTCCAGCACCCGTCCCTACTCCGCCCAGCCCCGCTGCGCCGGCCCCGCTTTCTCTCCCGCCCACTGGGAGACCCGCCTGCGCGGGCCGGGCCCGATTCCCCCGCCTACCTTAACTGGCTCCGCCCCCCGCCTGCGGCCCGAGGGATTCGCTGTCACTATGCCCGCGGCTCCCGACTCCAGGCACCGGTCCTGTCGGCCGCCTGCCCACTCCCCGTACTCTGGGCGGCCCCGCCTCCCCCATCCGGCCCCGCCTCCCGCCTGCCCCTGAGGGACCCCTCCTCCTCCACTCGCCCCGCCTCCCGCCTGCAGGAGGAGCTCGCCCAGACTCCGCTGGGCCACGCCTCCCGGCCTAGGAGGGGCGGGACTCGGTCTGAGGCCCAAGGCCCGGCTCGTCTCTCCGCCCCGAGAATCCCCAGCTAGCCCTCGTCGTTCCCCAAGAACACGGTATGCTGCGCTAACTCGGCCTGTCCTGAGAGACTAACAAGCGGCTGTAGGACCGCCCACGGGAGGAGCGGGGAGAACGCGCTGTTGATGTGTGAACTGGTGTGGGGGGGGGCGGGGGGAAGTCATGCTGTCAAAAAATTAATGGAAAAAAAGGCTGGTTTTGTATTTAAGCAACCGAAAAGAGGAAACCGGAGGAGTGTGAGTGTGAATGGGGATTGAGCCTGAGGAGAACAAAATTACTAAATTCAGGAAAATATTTTGAAACCTCTGTGAAATTGTTTCAACAAACTAAGCTTTTAGTAATATTTATTGATCTCTTACAAAGTACCAGCACTGTACTAAGCACCTTATGTGAATTAACTCATTTCATCTTCAGGACATCTCTGAGAGGTAGGTATAGCAATTTCCCTCACATTACGGATGAAGAAACTGAGTCTGAGGATAAATAACTACAGCTTTTCAGCTAAAAAGTAGTAGACTCCAGAGTCTCCTTGCTACATGCTCTTTTCAAGACCAGAAGTTAAAGTGGAGAGGAAACATTCCTGTGTAATGTAATGGCAGTGGACAGTGGCTACTGATGGTGACAATAATTTGGTTGAATTACTAATACCCTTCTCTCAGGGAAACTAAAGATAACTACAACAGAAAGAAAAAAGTAGTTTGGTCTAACAAATAAAAATAAATTGAAAGAGAGATTTGTTTAAGTAGCTTGAAGCTGCAATATTGAGGGGACCTTGCCATGCCTTTAACAACATGCACCTTTTTTTGGATAGCTGTCTGAGGTATAGTAAAGTAGGATAGCAATTTTACTGTAAGCTTTGAAAATGACTGAAAGCTCTTTCTAAAAACCAACCCTAGAGTGGGAGGAGAGTGTTAGCCATTCTTAAAGCAATTAGTAGGGGTCAAATGCTGAGTGAAATTTTTTAACATATATTTACTTTAAATGATAGTCACAAAAAGAAAGTAAAAACAAAAATAAATAATAGTCACATACATTCTATGAGGAAACTGAGTCTCAAAGAAGTTAGATCGTTTACCATAGGCCACATGGCAAATAAACTAAGAGCAAGTATTTATTCATTTAATTAAATTCAATAAACAATATGTCTATTATGCATCAGGCATCATGTTAGGTATTGAAGATACAAAATGAATGAGCTTAGTGAAAAAGAAAATGGACCCTGGAGCTGTATCATCATGGCTTGAATTCTAGTTCCCTCATTTATTAACTGTGCTACCTTGGCGAGTTACTTAGCCTCTGTGAGACTCAGTTTACCTACCTATAGGGTGTGAGTAATAATAACGCCTTTTTCATAATGTTTGTTATGTGGCTTTAATACTATATTACTGGGGTGGGAAATTACTTTGATGCAATGGTAGCTTCCAAGTCCACTACTAATTAAGCCATCCAGAGGAACAGAAAGGCTCAGATCAAATTGAGATGCTTGAATCACACAGTTTATTAAATGTATTTATTTATTTTCATTTTAAACAAGAAGTTTACTTAAACAACAAGATGTTTGACATGAAGGGAAAATTATTTAGGATTCTTTTTTTTTTTTTTTAGAGTAATTTTTTCCTACTTAAGATAGGTTGACTTACATATAACAGCTATGTAGAAAAAAGTTATAAAATTATTCTTGGTTTTACAGTGATAAAAACATTAAAATTCTCCAACTAAACAATGTATGCAAGGATTTTTATGGTTTTTGTTTTTGCTGTTAAAACAGTGAGAGCAAAAAAGATAAGAGCTGAATGAGCATGCAGCTAATGGAGATGGGGGTATTTTGACAGAACCAGTATTTTTCCCCATCCCTTCTCCATCTGATGTCAATGAAAATATACCATTGGCCATTTAGTAAACAAACAAAAAAATGCAGTATCCTTGTGCACATACACCAGTTACTCTATGTACAGTAATGTAATGAAGAAGGGGAAAATGAAAGAATGGAGAAAACTGTACAGTAGTAGTCAGGATGTAGTGAAACCAAATTGCGGTTTTCTAATTGAGAATGCATTCTTGGTCTGTGGGAACAGAATAAAGTAGCAGGTTTCTTTTTTAGTAGATACCTTCTGTCTATTGTTGGAACACATCAGTTGTCTTCAGCCTCCATTTCCAACTGTGCGGGTGCGTCTGTTTCATTGATTGGCTGCTAGTTGAATCAGAATCTGATCTGCCTCAATGACTAACACCGTTGTTCCCAGTAGGCTTTCTGTGGTGTGATGTCACCACAGACCTATCATCCTGCCCTGCCACCTTCAAATTAATATGATCATTGTTCTCAGTCTTAACTCCTTCCTTGGGCTCTTCATAAGCCATGGTGAGTTCCAAGTCTGCACTGAATGAGCACGCAAGCAGCACCCTCTTAAATCAATTTAAAACATACAGCAAGGGGAAAGAGATGGGAAAAGATAACATTTTTAGGATAGGGTATAATGAGGGGAGGGATTGCAAGGATTGTACTGTCTGAATCTTAATGTTACTGTTCATGTCCTGTCTTTGCTACATCAGCCTTCCTCACTGGTAATGTATTTTTGAGGACCAGAGTTGAGGGTGATTAAGAGTGTTGAGCAGACAGAAGGTGGAACCAACACATGCTTACTCTTTTGGAAACATGCAGGAACAAGTATACCTGGCTACAGCTGTAACTTGCCATAAATTAGCCTGCTAAACAGCTATGGGTTTTATCTGTGTTTCTTGGACAGAGCACATGTGGGGCCAGAATAGATCTCACCAATTGATGGCTGATTTAGGGATAACATAGTTGGCAATCTGGAAGTGACATAATCCTTACCTTATGAATATTTAAGATTTACTTGTTCCTTACAGCCCTTTCTGTCTATAAATAGCACTCTTTTGTCCCATTTTTATTGATGTTCAATACAGATATGTTCCATTTATTCTATCTTTAAAATGCCTCACAAGTTAATAACTTATTTACTACTTATACTTAACACTCCTTATAAATCTCAGGTCTGACAAGCTATTTGCTCCCATACTTAGTTTCTCTCAATTTCTGTAGCAAAATTGAATATTCTTAATATAGCAAAAACACATTACAGTGCTTATTAACAGTGTAGGCACTATGTATTAGTTTCTCCCAAGATGTTTAAAGTTATTGGAAGAGCAAATGTGAAAAATGTGACTGAAAGATCTCTGGGAGTAAAAGGATCCTACATCTTCAGCTGGGCTAGGTCACACTGACCCTTCAAACCCATTGTACAGACTGGGTCACAGACCCCTCATATGCAGGTCACGAGCTAGGTAATTGGAAACATCCTGGGAGCCGTTGGCAAGGTTGACATGTTTCATTCGGATGCGAGCTTAGCCCCCAGCCTCCTCAGCAGCAGCAGCTTACAGCAGTCTCCAGCAGCCTCCAGCAGATCCAGCCACAGCAGCAGCCCCGTGATGGCCTCCCAGGGGCATCCCCAGGGTCCTTGTGGATCAGAGCCATTCATCCTTAATTGTTATGTCAGATAACCCAGGGACATCTGGGTGCGAGTCAGATAAACAAAGAACACCTGGGCGCACATAGGCAATTCCCTTACAATATTCATATAGCCTTTATGGCATATTGTAAGGAAAATAAAAAATGGTCAGTCTCCCTCAGCTGTTCTCGCTAAGCATGACCTAGCCTGTCTGATGTAGATAAGTTGATTAATGGTCAGTCTCCCTCAGCTGTTCGGAATCTCGCTAAGCATGACCTAGCCTGTCTGATGTAGATAAGTTGATTACGCATGTGCACACAGGTGGTCAGTCTCCCTCAGCTGTTCTCGCTAAGCATGACCTAGCCTGTCTGATGTAGATAAGTTGATTACGCATGTGCACACAGGTGTTCCTTGGCTATTGTCTAATGTCAACTGCACACATGCACTCAGGTGTTCCTCCTGGTTATCTGACTTAAGTATAAAGGACAAATGGCTCTGATCCACAGGACCCCCAGAACACGCCATAAGGCCACCAGGATGGGTGTAGCTGCTGTGGAGCTGCTGCTAGTTACCTGAGCTTGCATCCGAATAAAGCATGTCAACTTTACGTTTGGCTCCCAGGATCTTTTTCCTAGATTGCAACTTGCATATGAGGGATCTGTGACCCAGACTGCACAATGGGTTTGAAGGGTCTGTGACCCAGCTTGATAAATATTATCTTTTTTGGGGGGTGGGCGGCTGGCCAGTATGGGGATCTGAACCCTTGACCTTCTTGTCACCAGCACCATGCTCTCCCAAGCAAGCTAACTGGCCAGACCCTCACATATTATATTTTTCTGAAAATGGCCACAGCAATATTTCTGGTCCCCAGTGCTGTTCCAGAACTTTGATCGCCTCTCATCAAAGGGTGGGTTCTAATACCCCTCCCTTTGAATATAGGCTGTCATTAGTGATTAACTTCTAATGAATAGAATACCTGACTTCCAAGCCTAGTTTATAAAGGACAATACAGACAGTTTTTGCCTAGTTCTCTCTTTCTCTCTCTCTCTGTCTTTTGGGAAGTTTGCCCCTGAAAGTTAGGTACCATGCTAGAGGAAGCCAAAAACTAGTCCACACAAAGACCACTTGGAGAAGCCCATGGGGAAAGGGAGGCACCCAGCCAAGAGCTAGCATCAACCTCCAGATGTGCAAATGAACAAGCCTTCAGAGGATTCCAACTGTTAGCTGTCATGTCTTCAAATGAAACCTGATATCACGGAGCAGAAACAAGTCATCCTGACTGTGTCCCATCCTAGTTCCTAACTCACAGAATCCATGAGCATAATAAATGGTTGTTTTAAGCCACCATATTTTGGTATACTTTGTTATGCAGCCATTGGAACTGTACCAGTCTCCATTCTATGTACAGAGATTTGTGTGGTAATGACCTAAGAAGGCATTCTAGCCTATGGTACAGAAAATATATAATTTCAGGTTACTGCTGGCTTGTTGTGTACCTTCTAAAGGGTAAATCCTTATATCTCAAACTTGAATGATGTCTCAACCTCTTTTAAAGAAAAAAACTTTCACAGCCACTTTGGTATTAACTTAAACTATGTGTGTGTGTTGTGTGTATATACTTAATATGTATACATATATATTTACTTAATGTGTGTGTATGTATATATTTACTTAAGTATGTACCAACATAAGACAGTTATAAACTTACTCTTAGAGCTTTATGCAACTAAAAAATAAAAATAAATTTATAAGTTATAAGTAAGACTATAAAAATGGTAAAATTCAAATTTAAAACCTTAAGTAATGGATGAAGTTGCTTTGCTGAAACTACATTGTATCATTGTGAATTAATGAAGCATATTCTTTTGCATTCTGGCCATGGGATGGATAACTGTTTTTCAACAACTCTCTTACTCATTATAAAAATGAGAGAGCACTGGGAAGACAAGTTTTTGGTCACAGGGTAGGATAATAAGACTTAGCATTTCAGATATGCAGAGCTCCAGGTGAGATAAAATCAACTATAAGGTTACAACAATATGTTCCTAAATTGGATTGAACTTGGTCACTGGAATTCATTCACTCATTCAATAAATCTTAACATTATACTGGGCACCGGAGAGGGAAAGGTATGTGAGATATAGTTCTTACTCTCAAGGAACTTACAGACTAGAAGGGGAGAAATCAAGCAAATACACTGTTCTGGGGGAGTACGAAGGAGGAGTATCTAAACCAGCTTTGTCAAGGTGGAAGGAAGGTGAAGGGCAGATCAGGAACTAGATTCTGAAGTATGAATAGGAATTAAACATTCCAAGATGAGGGGCCATAGAGAGAAGGAAGCTCAGAAGCGGTATGTGTACAGGCCCCAAGGTGACAGAGGGCATTAACCCAACAGAGTATTGCAAGTTTTTCAAAATAATAAGGGAGCAAGTAGAGGTTAAGGCTGCAAAGCAGGATTCCAGACATGAAAGGGCCTTGGAGTTTGGACTTCATCTTATGTGGCCATGGAAAGTCAATGTATTTTTAAAAGGGGAGTAACATGATTAATATGCATTTTAGAAAGATTGCTCTACCTCTACATATTGAAGGAAGCAAAACAAGAAACAGAAATTAGTTAGTAGGCTGTTGAAGTAATCTAGCTAAGATGGTGGTGACCTAAAGTTAGGTCACAATAGTGCACGTGGAGAGGAGATGAATTCGCGATAAGGATTTAATAACTATAGGACTTGACGGTTAATTTGAATGTGGGGGTAAAGAAGAAATTGAGTATGATTCCAGGTTCCTGATTTGGGAACGAGATAATTTATTGATTCATTAATGATTTTCAACCCAGGCACTATTCTGTGCACTGGACTTAGAGAAGTGAATGAGGATAGAGTTTCTTTCTTTTTGGGGGCGGGGAGGCAGTTGGCCAATACAGGGTAGTTTCTGATGGCCTCTGTTCTTGTGGAGGGTCACTGGGAGAAGTTATACAATAAACAAGTAAACTAATTTCAGGTAGTACATGGACCAAGGATGGTGGGAATTGGGCCTATGCCTTCGAAGCTTTTAAGGTAGCCAAAGCTGTGGGGATGGCAGGGGCTGCTATTCTTGTGTTACTCTTATCAGTTCCCAGAGGTCTAAGGCATAGAAGTAGGGGAAAAGTACGGAATGGCAAAAAATTATATGAAAATCCTGGTTCTCCACAGACTTCCTCAAATCACTTAAACCTTCAGTGTTTTTTGTTTGTTTTTGCTTCCCTTCTTTAAATGTTCCAAGATAGTTCTGCTAAAGTTTTATCTAAAAAAAAATAATAAATCAGTTGCAATACTTACAGTGCTTCTAAAAGTACATATGATCAAGAAAACATATTACTTCTCATCCAAGTCAAGGATCATAGCTTTTCACTATAGTGCTCTATTTTCATTTATTATAAATAGTTAATACATTAGCTCCAGATTTTGATACCTTTAAGGAATAAATTTTCATTCAACAAATACATGAATGCTTACCTTATTCAAGGCCCCATATTTTAGGTTACAGAATATCTTTTAATATCCTAAACTTCATCAGCTTTGGATATATCTTCTTAAATAACTTTCTTTTTTTTTGGGGGGGGGTCAGCTGGCTGGTATGGGGATCCAAACCCATAACCTTGGTGTTATAAGGCTGCACTCTGACCAACTGAATGTTATCTTCTTCTTAAATGAAATGCACGCTTCTCTGCCTTCTTCCAGAGTATATAGAACAGTTTTTAGGGGAATAAATAATTATCCTGAGCTGAAATAAATGTTAGCCTTGGGTGCTGTTTTTGAATTGGGGAAGACTGCTGGGAATGTCATCTTTGTGTAGCATATTAATGTTTGCAATATACAGATTTTTAGATGTGGTGCTGCCAAATGTTTCTGCATTAAATGGCTCCATTCTGTTCTCCTTTTTGAACATTTGCTAGTTTCTTTGATCTTAATTTTGCTACTTCTAGTCTGTGATGAAACAGGAACCTGATGATCAAACTTTCTCCTTTTTGAACATTTGCTAATTTCTTTGATCTTAATTTTGCTACTTCTAGTCTGTGATGAAACAGGAACCTGATGATCAAACACTCTGGGATACAAAGCCTCTCCTTTTATTATTGGACTTGAACTTCAGTATCTGTACTTTGAGAAAATTATTATGACTGCTATATTTTCACTCATTCCTCCCCACCCCAACCCATTTTTTGGTAGTTGGGAGGATTACTATGATCTGTTTTTATGGGGGCAGAATTTTTAAGGAAACATAACACAAATTTAAGTATTTGTTTCTTAAATGTATCAAGTGAATACATTAAAGGTGATCATCACACAAGCATTCCATTTCCATAAGCCATAATGGTACCTATGATTTCATTAGAAACTGAAAAATTTTAAATGTATTTGGTAACCTGGGAGCATGAGGCACTTTGTTTACAAAGACACCTTCTAAGGGCAAACTCATAATACTCAGAACACATCTAACTAGAACTGTGCCCATAAGCTTGCCAGAGAATGACAATGTATTTCAATTTCATAAAGAGTCAAATTTCATGTTCCCCACTGAAGAAAGCATTTCAAATACAAATACATGGCCCGATAATGTTTTCCCTGAAGAGCTCCTACTTGCATCAAAGTCACCATGTAACAATGCAAACTATTAAAGTTCAGCAGCTAGAAATAATCGGAGATTCACTCTGAAAGATTAAGAAATTGAGTTATGTTACCCATGAAAATCATTTGCTCTTTTAGAGCAAGCAGTTTATAAGAACTTAGGAGAAAACTTAAGAAAAAAATGTCAATGTTTCTTTATGTGTGGTGCTTTTCATTTTAAGACATTTGGGCTTAAGTTGATTTTGGACAATTCCCACATCTTCAGAGTTCTGATTCCTGTCTCTAGGGAAACTTACTGAAGGACAAACATTTTTAGAAATCTTTAGCAAAAATGTATGAATTACTGCCTTTTTGTAATAATACAGCCAGACCCTCATTGGATACTTCATTATTCTATGACCAACTCACTTGCTTATCATCACACCTTCCACAAAACTGTATACCCAAGGTTTAGGACTACAAGCTCCAGGATGCCTGAAGATGTACCTCACTGTTGTACTTACTAGCTGCATAAGCCTGAGCAAGTTGTTTTACCTGTGTCTCAGTTTCTTGTCTGAGAATGGTAATAGTCCCTACCTCATAGGATAAAATGAGATAATAAATGTAGAGCACTTGACAAAATGCACGGCACATAGTAAGTACTCAATAAAAGTAGGTAATTAACACTTCATATTGTACTTCTAATGTTTTTTGAATTTTAAGAGAGGTAACAACACACTTAGTTTATATTTAATCCAAGGTATCTTGACATGAACAGACACATTTTAAACACATTTCTACGTTATCAAAAGGTGTTTAAAGATGAATTAATCCTTTTGCTCATGCTACTTACTTAGGTTGACGTAAACATTGACAATATTTTCAATCACTAACCAGGCACAGTCTACTGAAGGCACTTCCAACCAGCCCCTTATCAGGAGCAACGACCTAGGACTAAGATGATCACAGATATATTTTTACATCAGTTAGAGTAGGAAAGGTTTGGCTCTAAGGAGCTTTCCAGCTGGGGGATTTAGATTTGTGAATAGAAAGGAATGCTTTTGGGGCAGTGTTTTAGAATGACGTAGAATATGCCATTAAGAATGAAGATTTCTAGCTTCCACCGAAGACTTACTACATCAGAAAAAGAGGAGAGAAGATAAGCAATGCCTAAGAATCAGCATTAACAAACTCACAAGTGAATCTGATGCATACAGAAGCATGAGCGCTACTTGCCTCCATGGAAGATGTCAATTTGAATTTAAGCCTAGAAATTGCTGACTTCATCTAAACACATAAAAATAATGCTATCTTTATGCAAGGAATGGCAGGGGCAAGTACTAAACAGTGAAACGTTCTTTTGAAAAATCCTCTTAAGGGCTGGCTGCCAAGCTCACATGGTCAAGGGTTTGGATCCCTGTACTGGCCAGTCACCCCAAATATATAAATAAAATTTAAAATCCTCTTAAAAGGGGCTGGCTGCTTAGCTCAGCTGGTTGGCGTACAGCCTTGTAACACCAAGGTCAATGATTCGGATCCCCATATACAAGCTAGCCACCAAAACAAAAAAAACAAAACCCTCTTAAATCTACCCCAGTACTGGGGAGTCAATATTCAGATGATTCAGGGGAAAAAAAAGTTGAAGTAGCAAAACTTTGAAAACCTTGAGTAAAGTTCATTCTTGGTCTTCTCTTCCTAAATTTGTTTTCAATTCTATTAGATTTAATCACTAAATAAGACCAAAAGAGAACTTTATTTTACATGACTTTATTTTACACTTAGAACTGCTTTATGCTTCACTTAAAACAAAAAAAAAACAAACAAAAAAAAAAGATTCCCTCTGCTTTTAATATTACTAAAAGCATTGTAACCAAAATCTTCATTTAGGAAGACTTAAGACATTGTGCATTATTTTAAATATTTCGTTCTTTCAATAACTATTGAAAATAAATTCACAGTTAGGGTTTCGAATGTCCTAATCATATCTAGTTTGATCTCATTTAATATTTTATCAATCCCATCATGTGCATACAGAGGTTAAGGTGATATATAAATTTTATAATCTTTCAAACACATTGATGTTAATCAGCTCTTAATCTAATTACTATTTCATTTATTTAGAAATAGCATTTAGACATAAAAACCAATCTCTTACTTTGTAAAATAACTTTGGCTAATTTAACACTTCTACTACAATTGTTTTATGTAATACAATGAATTTCACTACTATCAGTTTTAACTATTTTTAGTGTCAACAGTGCTGAGAATATCATGTGGTTCAGTCTTTCGAAGGAAGTTATATAATAAAAGCATAGTGTCTCTGAACATGAAAACTATCCCCAAGGCCAAAAGTCCTATAAAGGAACTGAAAGGTAGGAGAGACTCCAGAGAATTTCTCTCCTCATATTTAATATGTAAAGTGACTAGTTTAAGTCACTTTATTGAAGACTTAGTAAAGAAAATAGTGTTCCTTTATTGTATCATTCAATACATAATTAATGGGTCATCAAAAAAGAACCTGTCACTTAGTCACTAAGTATAAGTAAGTTAACTTCCTCTGCCAAGTAAGGGTACCACTTCATTTTCCCCATTTGTAAAAAGAAAAGGTGGCCTGCCTGGCCAGTGCCATTCAGGATTCTCTGCTAACTGTAAAATGTGGACTGATTTTCTTCTGTTTCTTAAAGTCCATGTGTATATAAACTTTTGGTTCTCTAAATCAAAATTTTTATGCACATAACTGTGTCAGTGTATTGCCCTTAGTTTAAAACTGTACAACTACATAAATAAAAACTATTGTTTCTTCAATATTACTTGACATGTCTTCTGTAATTTATTTAAAAAAGTAAATGTAACAAGATACTTAAAAAAGGCTAGATACAAAAGTAGTTAAGCTGCTCACGAACATTTAAAATTTTCCAAAATGTATCTTCAATAATTATGATCTTATAAAACATTTTACAGTTATCAGAAAGTGCCCAGGCTGACTTTACATAACTGAAAAACTTTAGTACAAATGTCTAGTTAGAACTGAAATGCAGTAACCTCCTGACTGACTGCTCATTGAAATAGGGATACAAAGAAAAAAAGTTGATTGTGATAAAGTATTGTGCATTGGCCCCATCATATGTACAAAAAAAAGTGCCCTCACTCAAATGAACAAATTACATGCAAAATATTAGTGATATCATTTAATATCCTAGAGCTCAATGCTGCCAAAATAAACCATAATAAAAGTGGTTTTTATAGGTAAAAGGGATTTCATCTTTAAGATCTGAATGTCAAGAACTTTTTACAAGTTCCATATACATGATACACAATTGCAGCCAACCACAAATTAAACACCATAAAAAAAGTTAAAGTGAAAACACAGAACATACTTAATTTTTTATTTTGAAATTCCCTATTCCCTCTATACAAGAACCTTTGCTGAAACACTTTCCACAAAGGCAGCAGTGAATTTTCAGAACATTTTACATTTTTCCCCCTCAGCAAAAAGATAAATCACAGTGTAAATTATGTTGTTCTGCTGTCATCTTTGGCTGGGGTTAGACCCAGAAGTTGTTGACTAGCAAACAGCCAAATGTTGCTAGTGCTCCTCTGGTCTTTGATCTACAAACTCAGCAAGGAATGTTTGCATTCAGTCTCTTTAAGGTACCACTAGAGGGGTATGACAGCATTAACTTCCATAAACTTTTATAGACAAATGGAAAAAATCTACAAAATTAGCTAGTAATATTACACAGCAATACACACATTTCATACGCTACACAAAACCAAAATTCTTGGTCTTAATGGCGAGTAGCAATTTCTGTTTGAGAATCTGTTTAGAGGAATAGAGTGGGACATAAAGTCGAGAAATGCAAGTATTTGCAGTAGGAAGATGTTGGTCATCTGGCGGTCTTATTGTGATTGAGGGCATAGGCTGAAATCCTTCTTCACTGGCTGGTAATGATGGGCTTGATGTCCAAAAGTAAACCTAAACAGGAATATAATAATTACAGTTTTGGCTTTTAACAGGTTAGTGTTAACATTCCCCTCTTAATACTGTCAATACTAGTATATACACAGAGCTGCATTCTTATGTTAAAACCTACAAGGGAGAATTATTTTGAACTAGGTTTTAAATTTATTTCTTGTACTAAAAAGGGAAGGTATCAATCATACCTCAATAAAGTAGTTTTTTTTTTTAAAAAAAGGGAGTATATTTAGGATTAGAAGAGGAAAAAGTGTCACATATGTTAAAAAGTGACTTTCTGTCTCAGGGCCTCAGTTTTCTCATCTGTAACACTATTATTAGACTAAATGGTCTCTAAGGGCCTTTCCTGCAGCTACATTCCATATATCTGTTAGTGGAAAAAATGCACAAAACCTCCAAACAAAAGATATGGTCTTAGGTTCAAAACTCATATGCATTATCTAAAAAAGTTATTTTGCATTTTATCTACTAAGCAAAATAATGCAATATTGTCAGTGCTATGTTGTTATACAGAATAATTTTATAATAGTATTTAAGTGTTGGGGAACATCTGCAATACATCAAAATTCACCTAATAGGCTATATTAAGTTTTATTATACATCTATTTTGTGCAACACAGACTAAATAAATGTTAACTTCTACTTTACTTTTTAAGTTAAATACAATAACCATAATATGCTTCCCTGAAATATTTTTTCTCTGAGTACATACCATTCCTCATTGATCCATCCCTTCATACATACATAGTACCATTCTTGGTGATAGTAAGATAGTGTCTATCTCTTAAGGAAAAGCCTTTTTAATCTAATGCACATACAGTGCACGACTAAATAGGAAGTACAGCCAATTTCTTAGAGCGACCAGAAAACTTAAATGAACTAATTTGTTATTTCCTGAAGCACAGTTGTATGAGAAGCCTCGTGTAAAATTCTACAGCGGTAGGGCTGGCTGGTTACTCAGTTGGTTACCATGCAGTGTTGATAACATCAAGGTCAAAGTGGCAGGAAGGAAAAAAAAGACCTCTCCTAAGTATCGGGGTCTATAACATTTTAAAAGAACTACAAAAGAGCTACTCTAAGTTAAGGATGAATGTGGTTAACCAAGGTAGATGACTACATCGCTGGACCTCCAAGAAGTTAGAAGAGAAATACTGAAGGACTTATCAAAGCTTTTACTTGTGAACTGTTACTTTCCAGGATGGAAATAAACTATGTAGTCTTACCCAACAACCCTGGAAATCCTATAACTTGCAGACCAATAATTCATGAGAGACTTGTTTGGGAAACCCTATTATATTCTTAGGTCCTTCAGCTCCTCCCGTGAACTGTTACTTTCCAGGATGGAAATAAACTATGTAGTCTTACCCAACAACCCTGGAAATCCTATAACTTGCAGACTAATAATTCATGAGAGACTTGTTTGGGAAACCCTATTATATTCTTAGGTCCTTCAGCTCCTCCCCTCAGACACATCAGGATAAAACCAACATTATGCAAAGGATGACCTCCCAAAAAGAAGGAAGGGTAAGGAGGGGGAGATACCTGATATACTGCTTAAGCCCTAAGAACAGGTTTTCAAGAGTAGTTTAAGGAGGAAAGCTCACAAATTAAAGCTGTTGATAGGAAATTTTGACGTCCTTATTAGAAGAAGATATTCTTTTTTCTAAAAGTGAGTAGTAAGTAAATTTTTCTTCCAATAGAAGGCAGAAACTGCAGTGAGATTTAACTTGGCTGACTGGACTGAGGATGTATTGGTTTAGAAACAGCAGAAAATTAAATTAGGAAATAGATAAAAATAAGTAACTTAGAACTCCTACCAGATAGCCACTCATGCCTACTTCTGTTTTTGGTGGATCTTACAGAATTGATATGAGCCTTGTCTTAGAGAAGTGAAGTGCCCAGAATCCAAAGACTGACTACGTGTGGTAGAATCCAAACACGTCATTTAGGTGATCAATCCTGAAACCAACAGGGACAGAGATGGTACTGGCACTGGTAGGACCCACAAGACTGGGAAAGTCAAATGCTGACCAATTATATCAAGCCTACCCGGGGAACAACCTAAGTTAAAATTACCAGGATGGCTAGACCAAGAACAGAACTAGGTAGCAACTAGGACTGCTAAACAACCTGTCTCAACATAGTAGAGAAATACTGGAAGGCTCTTGGAACCATGGAAAGATTCAGGAATGCTAAAAGCAAGAACTCCACTCCTTCCCTCCGCCACCCCCAAAATAAGCTCCTGCCTGAACTGAAGATAAATGGAAAGCTGCAGTTTTGTGCTTTCCTGCATGATAATCTTTTCCCCTCTCTCAAATAAATGGTGGACATATCTAGAAATTGGATCATTTCTAAACATTCCATGAGTGATCTGGTTTAGATTACTAAGAACTAAGGATGGTTAGACAGAGGAAATGTCCCAGAAAACCATAAAGAATATGAGTAGAAAGGATCTCTGAGGTTTTCTGAGTAAGGAATGTCTCTTGAATTTCTACAAGAAAGTCTGGAGCAGACTGCCTTTCAAGATTAACTGGCAAGTTGACTTGGTTATGGGTATACTTGAGTGTGGACATAGATTCCACTGATTTGGTAGACTTTCCACTAAGATCAGAGTTTCTGTTATCTGATTTATAATTCTAAGTTGGTTGGGGCTCTGTGCTAATAAAAAATAGGACTAAAATTACAGACTTAATATATACATATCACAATTAAGCTACTCTCACTCTCTTCTTAGTATACAGATAATCAAGACACTATTCAGAAATTTTGCAAAAGTTTGCCACTAGTCAAAAGGATTAAGCGTATATACGAGGAGCAGCATATATATGTAAGCACTATAATCGGGCGAACCATGTTGCAACAATAAGCTGGTATCATCTCCTGGGACTAAGGACAGCATATTAATAGCTAAGATGCATTTCACTCTGCTTGGAGCTTTAGCAATACTTCAGGTATTCTATTACAGAGTAAGAAAAACAAAAACTGCCTTTTGTTTCTGACCTTCTGTAATTTCCCTACCCCAGATTAAAATTACTGACCATTATACACTTAAAAGGCTATCATTCATAGTATTTTAAAATCTTCTATTTCCTTCTGCAAATTTTGTGAAACTTTTAACTTACAAGGTCTTGTCGTTCTGCCATGCTCATCTTCTCTACTATTGACCAGAACCAACGCTTGAACTGCAAGAGCTTCTCAGCATTTTCTCCTAAGAATGAAGAACATAAATTTAATAAATTTAATAAGACCCCCTTTATTCATAGGGGATACATTCCAAGACCACCCAGTGGATACCCAAAACTGTAGATAGTATCAAACCCTAATATATAACCATGTTTTTTTCTATACATACCTATGATAAAGTTTAATTTATAATTTAGGCACAGTAAGAGATTAACAATAATAACTAATAATAAAACAATTATAACAATATACTTCAATAAAAGTTATGTGAAAGTGGTCTCTCTCAAAATGTCTTATTGCATGGCACCCCTGAATAACTGAAACCATAGAAAGTAAAACCACAAATAAAGTGGGGGGGGGCTACTATACTGTATCAATTGTTTTATCTTTAGGATATTGCTAAACTTGTTAAAATAAAAATAGATACAAAGTTTAAATTATTTAAAACGGGGAGGTGTATGTGTTTCTAATTTGTAATACAGGAAATTAGGACTATTTGCTTATTAGTTCATAAGTCAATCCTGACTCAAGAGGACAAAAACAAGAAAAATGTACCACCAGCCTCAAAACTGATAACCACATAATTGTAATCCCATTTGTAAATCATGATTCTTCTCATGAACTTAAGCCAGTGCTTCTCAATTTTCACTGGATTTATAAATCACATGGGGATCTTTTCAAAATGCAGATTCTCATTCATTCACTGGGTCTGGGGGATGGAGGGAAAAGACACCAGAGATTCTGCATTTCTAAAAAGCTTCCAGAAGATGCCTATGCTAATATGAGGATCAGACATGGAATGGCAGGCCTTACGCAGTTTCTTTAGATATTTTGTTTTCCCTTCTAGACTTTTGGTTTGTAAATGAGACAAATTCTTATCTCATAAATATTGAAAACTATATCTAAAAAGTAACACAAAAACTATTATACAACAAACTACATATTTATTACCATGCATGAAAGAAAACCAAAAAAATTTATCCAAATTTAACTTACTATAATTTGGCTGAAGCTGCTTGCAAAATAAGAAAACTAAAGGGGGAAAAATTGGTATCTTTATGTATGCAATAATCTCGGACTATAGGTATAATCTTTTTGTAGTGAACTTCTTGAAGCTTTCAATGTTTTATTGTATAGTCACAACTAAAGAGTCTATTCCTAGTCTACAGGACTTTCAAAAGAAAAAATTGCAGCAAATCAAACACTGGAGGTAGAAGTTATTCTTAGGAAGATTATCACTACCTCTTTATATTCTTCCTAAATTCTCTATGTGTTTGTTTGTATGCTGTTATGCCTTTATAAGTGTGACTTGTATTCAGCTTTAAAAGCCAAACATCATGCATTCGAATTGTTTAAATTAGGGGAACAAAAAAGACATGAATCAGGAAGGGCCAGTAGAAGTCACATGGATTATTTTTTCTTAATCAGTATATACAAATCATTGTTACACAGTTACCCACTACAAAGAACTTTTACTTGAATTCATACTAAACCATACATTCTTTAAAACTTAGAAAAATTAAGCAATAAAAGAATTAAGAATAACCTAATACTAAGTCATCAAAAATTGAGTTCAATCATATCTTTAAAAATAATGTAAAGGGCCGACCCGGTGGCGCACTGGATAGTGCGCCGCTTGGGAAGCGCAGCGGCGCTCCCGCCCGAGGGTTTGGATCCCACATACAGACCGGTTCCCGCTCACTGGCTGAGCGAGGCGCGGGGGCAACACCGAGGGCCTCATCAGATCACGTAACACTTCCTAGAAAATACTTACGTGTAATGGCTGTTCTGCAACTACCAACATTCTGTGCTCTGCGTATTTCCGCACATACTCATACACATTCTGGGGAGTGACTGGTATATTTACACCATTAGGAATGAGTTCAACCTGTGAAAAATTTAGCAATGCCTTTTAAAGGAAATTCTGTCAAAGCAGTAATAAGTCAACAGTTCATAAAACTATTTCCTATAATTTTAAATCTAAAGACAATTCTTTATCTGAAAAATATTTAGGAGAGGTAAACATTTTAGGCCCAAATAAGTACAAAAAGCCCTCTGCCTCTTAGTTTGCCTCACTAAGTCTTGATCCATCTCTCTGTTTATCTCCTACTATGTCCATTTCTTTTTCTGTGTGTGCAAGCACACGTGCACATACATGTACACTTGTCCCTCTCTCTCTCGGTCCCTAACTAATCTCCTTCTATATAAGATAAGCACAGCGGATTAACCAACGTTTCTTGCCAGAATCAGAAAACTGCTATTTGCTTTACCTGTCCTCCACCCTCTTCTTTACACAGGTCAATTGCGAATGCCAAATCCATTGCTGAGAAAACAGCATCAGCATCTGAACTCTGAGAAGCGAGGATTAGTTGCCGCAAACTCTCATACATTACAGGGTCAAAAAAAGCAAAATCATGCCAATTGACCTAAGAAAGTAATCAGATGAAACTCAATTATGAAAAAAACAACATCTTCATTTAATTTATTAGTAAATTAAAATCTATAATAAAGAATAGTATATAACTTAAAGAACGCTGACAAAGAATAATTCCTCACCACACACACACACACACACACACACACACACACACACATTGCTTTAAAGACATAAAATTTAATAAACCTTGGGCTCTGACAATACATTTAATTTTCAAAGTATAAAAAGTGTTACACTTTGAAAATTTTAAAGCCAACAGCATAATAGTTTAATAGCAAAAATAATTATTTTAATAGCAAAATAATTACTTTAAATAATCATTTTAATAGCAGAAATAATTTGCAAAAACTAATACTATTTATTGAACACTGATTATGCAGAGCAGCTGGCTCTAAAGTAAATACACATCCTGTTCACTCTTGACAATTATGATAAAATATAGATTACCAAATCTAGATGATAAATCTGATGCTTAATGGAATTCAGTAACTTGTGCAAGGTCACATCATTGAGTTAAACTTAGGTCTATTTGATTCCATACGCTATTCACTAAACCTTGTTAAAGACTCAAAATATCAACATTTCTGTGTTGCCAAGCTTTGAGTCTAGATCCTGTTGGCACAACAACATTTTAGCTGGAACACTTTGAGAATTCAATAGGGTATGGTTAAAAAAGAAAAAAATTATACATCATAATATGATATGCTTCTGTTGCCAGAAAACAATATTCATCAGTGGATTTAATTAAAGAGAACTGTTAGTAGGCTATAGCTTCAACAATGCTAATTTATATCAGATGTGTGATGTGCATATATGGAAAAGACTATTTCATTATTTTGTATCAAGCAATTTTCTTTATAATATCTTTAGGAACACTGACAGTTTGGTTTTAAATCAAAACTTGTATAATTAGCATTATGCATTAATTTTAAAGGAAATGATTTTTCTCTCCCCTCCCCACAATCATAAAGGAATGTGCAGGCTGTCAAATTACCAAAACACAAAGAAAATAAGCTAAATCTATCACCTAGAGGTCTACACTGAGAATGTTATGCCATACTTATACTTTCTTATATTCTTTTGCCCCCCCCCCAAGTACATCTTACATATATTTTTGAAGTTGGAATGCTCTTTTCAATACAATACTACTTCTACCTCTACTACCACCTGCTACAAATAATAGTGGATAAATTTTATTGAGCACTTACTATTTGCCAGGCACTTTATAAATCGGGAAATGTGCCAGAAGTGTCAGGGGATTTGTTTGCAACAGGATCCAGGTCTCTCAGATCCTCAAGCCCACCTGTGTTATCTACTCTGCTATGCCATCTCCCCATATATAGAGACTTTTCCCGTGTCATTAAATGTTTTTCTTTAAAATTAATTTAAAAATTAAGAATTATTTTTAATTGACAGATAATTGTATTATTAAATGTTTGAAAATTATTTATAATGGATGTAATGCTTTAAAACTTAATAGTAAGTGAATGCCATAGTGTGCTAGCATTTACTTTATAATGTATAAAAGAAAACTTTTGCAATTCTAAGAGCAGTTAGGTTCATCAAAATCACTTACTTTTCTACCAAGCAACACTTTAATTACATGTCTATTCAATGTAATAGGACATAGTTCATTCTGTAACAAACACAGTCCAAGAATCCTAAAAATAAAAACATGGAAGTAAGGTTTAAATTCAAAATAATTCTAGAATACATATAAGCCCCCCCACACATACATAAATACACATGTAATATTGAGAAATTCTCTGCAGCCTTATTTTCATCCAGTATGAAGTAGAGCATATATATATTTTTTAACTAATATGTTTTAGAAAACCTCATAAACTCAAATTTTCATATATACATTTTTAAATTAATATGTTTTAGAAAACCTCATAAACTCAAATTTTTCAGAAATTCAAATATAAGATTAGAGTTATTTTACCTGCCAATGTTTCTGAAACAATTCAGCCTTGCTTCTGTGTTTTTGCCAGGTCTCGGAGTATAAAATCCTCTTTTTCCAGGTTGGTAAAACAAAGGGGAATTGTCATCACCATCATCTGTGTCATCTAAATCCATATCTACCACACTGCGACTAGAGCCATGACGCTTTCGGTTTTCCTAAAAACAATATCAGAGATTAAACACTAAGATTCATTTTAAAAACATATGAACTGGTCCTGTGAAATCATTGAAAGTGAAGTCAGGTAGGCAGAGCAACATTCATATTTAAATGTATGGGTATAACAATACTAAAAGTAAATAAACTATTAATTTGCCCTTTCAGAACTGTGATACAAAAAGCTTGTGCATATTAAGTCAACGTCTCTATTATTTAAATAAAATCATTTAATGAAACTCAGGTTAGGTTCTTTCACCTTAATGCCTGAAAGATATTTTCACTGGATAAAGAATTTCAGATTGACAATTCTTTCAACACTTTATTGATGAAGTTCCATGGCCTTCTGGCCTCCATAGTTTTTGATGAGAAAGACACTTTGCTCTTTTACCTTTGTTCTGCTATTGACACATCCAGTGAATTTTTTTCTTTCAGATATTGTACTTTTAATTCTAAAATTTCCCTTGGTTGTCTTTTAAAGTTTCTATTTCTCTCCTGAGAACCTCTATCTTTCCATTCATTATGTGTACCATTATCTCACAGAGCACAAGATAAAGTCTTTGATAATTCCAACAAGTGGGTCATCTTATGGTTACCATCTACTGGATCTTTTCCAGAACTGGTCAGTCTTTCATGGTTCTTTGTACACTATGTAATTACAGGGTGTACTCTGGACATTTTGAATATTAAGTTGTGAAACTCTGGGTCTAATTAAAATGATACAGAAAATGTTGATTTTTTTTTGTTTTGTTTTTTGTTTTTTTGGTTTTAGTAGGCAGTCAACCTGGTTAAGTTCAAACTGGAAGTTGTACCTTCCCGGTGCAATGGTTTCCATGCCAATTAAGTTTTCAAAGCCTTTATTATGCTATTTTGCTTTATTATGCTATGCTGTATATGCACTACTTGGGATAGTCTAAAACTTGGGCTGTGGTTTATGCTATACTTTAGTTCTCAAAGCCTTTGCTCTCCTGCCTGAAAAGATGTCATACTCGTCACTTTTCAAGTTTTGATTTCCCTCTCCAATCTGTGTGCTATTGTTTACTTTTCAGAATTCTTAGGTAGTTCTTTTTCATATTTTGTCCGGAGTGTTTAGTGTAGTCAGTGAAAGAGATAAGATTATAATGGTTTGCTTCATCTTGGCTGGCACTGGAAGTTCACAGGTAGGTTAAGAATGAAATACATACAATGAAATACAGAATACACTAAAAAGCCTCCCTTACTGCTATACAACAATGTCATGTTTTCTCTGCATCTTTACCATCAGCTGCTTTTCTCATAAACGAGTCCTAGGATTCTGTGCTGCCTTCACTCTTTCTCCACTATTCAATTCATTACATCTTCAACTTAATCTTAATTCAGGCTGTGCTAAGAGACAACCAGTGAGGGCAGTTATACTAGCCCTAACTAAACCTATCTTATTACTTTATTCTGTACGTGACAACCATATACCTATCTTTGCTTCTCTCTTTCTATTGTAATCGTGAATTTTATTTATAAAGACAGTTTCTTCATAAATCCTACTTTCTTCCCTTTTATTTAAATTCTAAGTGCTTACTATTACACGTACAAAATATCCCTTACCTGTACCTTTTCTGAGGAGTCTAATAATCCAAGATCCAGGATACTGTCAGCTCCATTTTCCCTAAAAACAACAACAAAAAAATTTTTTAACATTCCAGATAACTGAAACTTCTACAATTTAGAATTTGAAAAATACACTAGATGCTGTATGTGTGATTTGAGAAAATGGGTTAAAAGCTACCTATTTAAGACAAAATAAATGCAGTCTTCATGGGGGGGCTAGAATTCAAGCTCAGAGCAAGCACTATAGAACAAGAAATGCTCAAAAAACAAATCACAATAGGAATCAGATTCTCTAGTGTATATAATGATTCTAGGATACTAACAAATTCACTGTTCACTCCATAAAGCTAGGTGAAAGCAGTCAATATTGTGTATTAGTTACACTCATTAGAAAACCCTACTAGCCTGGCCCACTAGCTCAGTTGGTTAGAGCACAGCCTTCTAACACCAAGGACAAGGGTTCAGATCCCCATACCAGCCAGCTGCCAATAAATAAATAAATAAATAAAACCATTACTAAATTTTCAATCCTTACATGTATTTACAAAAATCTTTTTATCAAAAATGCACATTCTTCTTAACATTTTCTACAATGGGGTGAGCTATATCAGTGTGCTGATAGCTCCAGAGACAGAGTAGAGGAATAAAGATAGAGTACATAAAGCTCAGAGAAGAAAAGTAACAGCAAAGAAAATAAACTCTCAACAGTTTTTGGTTTGAGCCATTCAAAGGCTCCAAAGTGGCCGTTTAGTTCCAGTGCTCAGTCTACCTGCTTATACATCTCTAGAACCATATGTAATCTAAATTCTTTGTTTGAAATCATGATTAGGAAGGGAAAAAATGGAAATTTTCATCTAAAATAGTAAACACTTCAAAGCCTCAAACTGAATATCAGAGTAGTCCCAGCACAGGAGCCACAGAATAAGTATAGTATATTTTCCTACTGTCACTTTTACTTGTCACCTTGGGAAAAGAGGGATAAATAATTTGTTAGATATTTTTAGATTTTATATTAAAACAAATATAAATATATTACAGAATATAGAGCAAAAAATTGCATGAGTTTTTAAAATAAATCAAGAGGCCTAAAAAATTTCATTCTTATGGAAGAAACTTAGGTACTGAATCTCTGAGGTATAATATGGCCTCTGCCATTAGTGGTACTCTGGTGGAGAATATGAGATGTAATTCCTTCAAGTAATTTCTAAATATCAGGTAATAAAAGACCTTTTAGAACCTAAGTGACTACTAAAACGTTACCTTTCTAATACACAAGAAACTTAGCTGTCTTTTACTCATGGATTTTAAGCCATCACTTTAAAAAAAATTCAAGTTTTATACTTTATAGTATAAATTTTAAGATATGGTGGAACCTACATACTGAAAATAAAGTAGCTGATGTTGAAACTCAAATGCCTTCCCAACTGTACACATTACCGTCCATGTGCAATAATGAGTTCCATGGCCTCATCCACTCTTGCTCTCAGAGAATCTTCACTTGCTAGAAGGAGAAGCAGCTGAGCTGGGGATAATTCCAATAGCATTCCAGTGATTTTACTTGCAAATGCCTGTAAATGATGAACAAATGTTACCTGCCTAGTCCCTGAAACCTCCTGAGTAAATCTATAATCTTTTATTAAAAATTTTTTTTAAAAAGGAGTGTAAGAAACTTGGGCAACAAATATAAACATTTCTGAATCTGTAAGTCTTTTATGAAATTAGAAGCTTAATTATAAAGAACTTGGGCAGGGAATATACAAATCATGCACTAGCACAGTCTTGTCAAGGCTAGTTAAAATATTTGTATCACAAGCCTTTTTAAAGTTTTTGGTATCCATGAGTAAACATACATATACTCAGTTTCTCTATCTTTTTTCCTTCATCAGAGAACCAGAAACATCTTTTTCATTTTGGGTACAAATAAGGATACAAATAAATATGATGCACATCTAATTCTTTAGCACACAAGGAACTTCCTAGATAGAATGGGGAGAGTTCCCCAACTGATGGTAGGTGGTGAAAAAAAATATTCAAGTTATACATAGTTACCCTCCAGCAAATAGTGCTTCATTTCCTCCTAAGCTTCCTCCTCACTGCTGAGCTAAACACAATCCTCAACCATGTGGCTTGCTGGTAGCTGGTAATTTTTTTTAAAATACCAATTTTACTTTAAAAGCAAAAAAATGCCATAGTCTGTTAGGTAGCTAAGTGTACGGTACTTACTGGTTGCATTGCTTGTACACGGGGATAAAGTCTCTCCCCAAGCGCCTGCCGATGTGCTGGCAGAGGATCAGGATCATCACTAGGATTCCCTTCAGAGGCTGGTCTGAAGGGCCTAGTATCGATGGAAAGCTGTCTCCTAAAGTCTCTATAAGAGGAAGAAAGCTACTATGACTTCATTTTCTTTGACTACAAAGTGAAAATTTCTGCACAACTAGTAGTAAAGTTATAAAATCAAAGCATATAGGTTGTTCCAGTTATGGTACCAATGTGGTAAAATGCCTAAATGGTTGGGAAATAAAGATTATCTAGATTTTGTCACTTGAAAAATCTGTATATTAAAATGTGCAGATTTATAATTTTGATTCTAAGAGAGTAGGACCTTAAAATACCATAATCAACAGTCCATCCATAACTCCTGGAAATTTTAGACAAAAGTAAAATGCAGTCTATCCTAACAAGAGAAAAATTATAAGACTTAAATAATATAATTTTCCACAATTAAGATGGTAAGACAAACATAGGAAAGAATGATACAAAGGTAATAAAAATTTCAAATGATTATGAACTTAAGTGAGATAAATAAAAAGCCAATACAATTTGAACTGCCTCTGGGTTTTTAAAGAAGTTTTTATTAGTAACAGTTGTTTAGACTATTCTTAGTCCATATGTCCAAATATTAAAACTTTCCTTTTCTAAAAACTAGTCCATAATTAGGACTCTCACTTACAGGTCTACCTCCAATTATCCTAAAAGGTGGTATTCAATAAAAGATACAACATTATCTTACCTATCCCGGTCTCTCCGAGAACCTGCTCGTAAGCCACTACTCCTCCTCATTTCTCTTTCTCTCTCCCTTTCCCGGTCTCTCTCCCCTCTGTTCCTTAATCTCTGCATTAAGCCTAAAACAAAATACGAAATATACTTTGTTTAGATGAATGCAAATGCTACTACCTTAAATTTCAATGTCAATGCAAAGAAATGTGACAATCATAAAACATGACAGCTGAAAATCATCTTCCTCAGCATCTGTGTTATCAATGCCTTTCTTTCACTCTCCCTATGGTTTTGAGGGTTGTAGGTGACTGTGTATAATGTACCTGTCCCGTAACAGTTATTCACTCAGTAGTTGTTAAATGAGTTTTACCCTGTATCATGTCAAAGCTGTGAAATACATGTAGCAAATGGGGTGATATAAGTTTCACTGTACTTAATGTTGAGATTTCTTACGTGATTAATTTAAATATCCCTTCTAGAGGCTGGCTGGTTAGCTCAGTTGGTTAGAGCATGGTGTTGTGACACCAAGGTCAAGGATTCAGAGCCCCATACTGGTCAGGCACCAAAAAAAAAAAAAAAAAAAAAAAAAAGAAAGAAAAAATCTCTATTCTTAGTTTTTGACATTAAAGCATTATAGGCCACCAGAACATTAGTTATTATTATTTTTAAATTCCTAAGCTTAAGCCAGAGTATGTACAGAAAAAAATATTTCTGAAATATTATGACTTCAACAGATTTCCTCATTCACATTTGCTAATTTCTTTTTATTATAAGAATATAGAATTTTAAATGGTGAAACTGATGAAAGGCTGGGGAACGCTCCCCATTTTTTTTATCCTCAATCCTTTCTACAGCTCATTCAGCCTCCAAGGTGGTGGTTTATAGAACCCCAGTGAGATACAGACACAGCTATAGCCTAGGTTAAAATACAGGATTTTCTTAGTTTTGAATAACACTGCTCTAAACAATAGCATTTTCTTGTCAAATATCTGCATCAATTAATACATACAGGGGTAGAGGAAATAGTGCAATTTGCTCACTAAATTTTTATACCACCATGTATCTTACAATCTCACAAATAGGTAACAACTAGGATAAGAGTAGTAAAATCACAAACATTTATCAAAATAAATGTGGCAGTAAAAGAGCTAATTGTTTTATCAAAACAAACGTGGCAGGGCCGAGCCCATGGTGCACTCGGGAGAGTGCAGCGCTGGGAGCACAGCAGCGCTCCTGCCGCGGGTTCGGATCCTATGTAGGGATGACCGGTGCGCTCACAGAGCTCACTGGCTGAGTGCGGTGCGGCTGGTCTCAAAAAGGACAAAAAAAAAAAAAAAAAAAAAAAAAGGGGCAGAAAAAAAAAAATTTTTAAATTTTTAAC